AGGCAATAAGTCCAGCAGCTATCTCAATCAATCGTCAGCTATGGAAAGATCGGGTTCCAAAGGCCGGATCCCTTGTGAATCAAGTCACGAAAAGTTCAAGAATCGGCAACAGGCCATGGGCCTATTTCTTCAGCGCCGACACTTCTATTCTATTCTTCTATTCATGTGTAAAGTACGTCACCTCGGGAAGAACAATGAACAGCAAGATAACAGTATGAGAAGGCATGGTTGCAACGTGAGAGTAATGATTGAAAAGTCTAGTGTTGAAAAAGATCTCGGAGTTCATGTCGACATGGAGCTGAAATTTTCTAAGCATGCTGAAACGCAAGCTAATAAATCCAACAAAAGTTTTGGACTGATCAGACGCTCATGCGCGTTCCTTGATGCAGAAGCGAAGAAGCAATTGTTTGTAGCCGTCATGCGCCCGAATCTAGGGTTTGGAAACGTTGTGTGGTCACCGAGACTTGAAAAAGACAAAAATTTTATAAAGAATGTTCGAAGACGTGCAACAAGGATAATTCCAGGCTTGAATGGCAAGTCCTATGAAGAAAGGTAAAAGTTTATGAAGCTTCCAAGCCTCTGTTAGCGACGTCTGCGTGGGGACCCCATTGAAATATACTCGTGGTTTATACAAGGTCTCAGAAGGATTTCTAGAATCTGAAATAAGCTACAATTGAATATAATTTGGAATCCGCGACTATAAACTAAAAAATACGGCGCAGCAATTTATCCACGCGATAACATTTCTTCTCGCTTCGTATCACCGACATGTGGAACAGCCTCCCCGATTACATCGTTGATGCTCCGAGCCTCCGAGTCAAATTTTTGACAAATCAAAATTAATCAAACGCTCCGAGTCAAAGTTTAAATTCAAATTGCGCTCAATAATATTCGTGAATAATTGTGTAGAGTCGGGTATGATTGCATACACGCGTTCTAGAACAGACTAGATAAAGCTATGGATAAATTTATGTTCAGATTTGAAATGCCTAGCACCGTATCGAACACGGTGGAAGTCTAGTACTAGCTATTTCAAACTATCGTCAGTCTTGAAAAGATCCGGTCAAATGACACGATTTTAGATCTTCTGTGAACAAGTCACGAAAATTACAAGAATCGGCGACAGGCCACACCAGGCCTACTCTTCAGCGCCGATATGTTATGTAATGTTTCAACTATAGCCTAAACCGTCGGCTGGATGGCCGAATGAAATAGTTTTAGATAATGGTTGAGCTAGTATAGTTGAACCATGGGTTCAGATTACCAGAATTAGAGCAGTGAGTTGTTGGTTCAATTTCAGTTCTCTGCGATAGCGAAATTTCTGGTCAAAATCTGCATGGAGATCGGATGGTTGAGTATGGTGGTGGCTGAGGCTCGAAACCCCTGCAAGGTGTGAGAATTTTGCAATGCACTGAATTTGCCGCAGCCAAATTTGGCACAATGAACGCTGACGCCACTACATAGAACTCACTGGCAGGTATAGTGTATAGATACATTTTTGTGAGAAAATTGGTTCCATTTTCCTAAGCTGAAGGCATCTATTCACTGAAGTTAACTAATTAATGTTAAAGTATTCTATCATGTATGTGTCACTAGAACAAGATGACAAAAACGCCAGACGGCTGCTATTCGAATGGCAGCAAGAAGTGCGCAAAATACAGATTACAATTTCTGACAGCTCAGAATAAATTTCAGCAAGCAATTGTGGAGGCACATATGACAGCTCATAAATTTATACTTCTACGGCCATCTGCTAGTCACTAAAGCGCAGTGGTATAAAAAGAGAGATGAGAGCCACTGCCCACTAAGTCATGAGTGCGTTTTTGACGTTTGCGAACTTTTCTGGGCTTCACTTTGGATAAAGCTTCTACGCGTCAAAGAACGAACATTATAACGTGGACCTGGGCGGTCACTGTCAAATGCCTTGGCAAATTCGAGATACACTGCATCCACTGCCAGGCGATTCCAATAAGTCTAAGTAGGCAAGAGGTTAGTGGTGCAAGATCTGCCGACTATAAAGCCATGTTGACATCTCTATAAGGTCATAGAGATTTTGATGACTTATTCATCCGTTGGCGTTACCTGTTTATGCTTGATATATATGTTAAATTAATTGAATTAAATGAAATAGTTCCAGCCCATTGACAAACGGTAGTGTAAATTAGCTGAGTGTGATTAAATTCAAATTGCGCTTAATACTATTCATGGATAATTGTGTAGAGTCAGGAATGAATGCTAAATAATTTTTCAGTGTAATTGAATTCTGTTCGTTGCAGTATAGATATGCCAAGATGACCAAATAACCCCGATAACGCATTTATGTACAAGATAACCTTAAAAAGTTTCAATGTCTATCTTAAGAAATAAGGACAGGTAGACTCGTTTTTTTCGTTATAGGATACGTAATTAACAAATGTACAAAACTTTAGCGTGACATCCTTTTTCAGCGGAAGGATTGAATTAATTTTCTAGAAAATAATGTAAAGGAAAACCATTCAATTAAACTGAATTTATTGAATCGAATTTGTGTCGAGTAAACACAAATTATGGAATAAAGACGATTGGTGCCTGCTGCTGCCCGGTGGAAGTCCTCTCACCCCTCTGAATCGGGAGCAGGAGCTTCACCTGGCTAGTGTAGACCAGCCAGGTAGCACAGGGAAACTGACACGCTAAGCTCCGTGCAGCCCATCCTGTCAAAATAAATGCCAACTGATTTATTGACACGAAAGCCGAAAGAGAAAAGTATAAATCTTAGTTGCTCCACCTACGCCATCATAAAAACATAGGTGCTCCACAGTTTTTATTTGGGTCAGTCATAACCAAGAAATGAAATGCAACTATGCTTGCAATTTTGCTTGAAAATTATATTTTCAGAAAATCAGATATAATGATACAATTGAAGTGATTTTCATTGGTTCAGAAATGTGTTTGCCAAGATTAAAGATAAAATTCTTTTAGTCTTGACTGTTATATCTTATATATATTATGATGTAGGATAATAGTGTCCATGCGTAAAGTTGATGCGAACGTTCCATAAGAGGGAAAATAATTTCTGCGAACACAGACCTAAAATACGTTGAAATACACAGGCCTAAAATACGTTGAAATACACAGGCCTAAAATACGTTGAAATACACAGGCCTAAAATACGTTGAAATACACAGACCTAAAATACGCTGAAATACACAGGCCTAAAATACGTTGAAATACACAGGCCTAAAATACGTTGAAATACACAGGCCTAAAATACGCTGAAATACACAGACCTAAAATACGTTGAAATACACAGACCTAAAATACATTGAAATACACAGGCCTAAATTTAAATACGTTGAAGTGCTTGATATCAACCTTCCGTTGTCAGCTGCGTATTGATTAGAACGTTTACCCTATATTAGACGTAAATCAGACCTTTAGTAAATTATGTCTCTGACTTTTCGTGAGGTGCAATCAAGTTATTTTATGAACTGTATGCATGGCATTTTTCCTCACAAATTTATGGCGGTGTCATAGCCCTCTTAAATTGTCTTTAAAAATTACACAGTATTTTATAGTCGCGTCAACAGTTACATGTGTCTTAACATTATTGAGAAACAACTCTCTTAATATTTATACAAACTATTGGGTGCATACAATAGTTAATGTAAATTCTTTTTATTCCCCATTCATTCCAGAAATTGTGTACCTTGTTATCCCTTCATGATTTAATGAATTGAAATTGATGTAATTAGGCCTTGATAATACCAATAAATAAATAATTTATTTGTTCATACAGTTGCTGCCAGCACGAAGATCAATAACCGCGTACTGAAGAACAATATTCTTCACGGCGTCCATATGAAAACTTTCTAGTTAGAGTATCGTAAAAATAAATGTTTGCCGTCCCCATTTCTGCAATTTATTCTCCCCCCATCGCATATCCTACAAATATTTAACCATGTTCCGAGGTAGACAATATACTAACATTGAACTTTAACATACATCAGAGTTAGATTACTCTCACTGCCCTCGAGTGCGCTGGGAAAAATCTTGATATACATAAGGACAATCCTTCAGATTCCTTTATCTTCAAAATACTGATAGGCAAGATAGGCAGCTTTGTTTTGTTGTTATTATGCAAGGAACGATAAACTACGCCAGTTGATCGATTGTTTGGTTTCCGTTGTGTCATAACTTCACGATTCTATGTTCTCAACTAGTTTCTATAATGAAAACCGGTGATTTGCGCTAACAAAGTTCAATGAGTTAGTTTGAGTTCTATTCATTTGTATGAAATATTTCAATCTCATTCGAAGCTGTAAAGCTCAGATTTTCAATTTAAAACATGTGATATAGATGAGATTTTGACAAATAATATTCATATCATGCGTGCGTCGTATCGTTTAGCTAACTTGTGTTTGTGAATTAAAGGTCACAGTTTATTTAAAAAATTATTTTATAATATTATATATCTACTCACGGGTATTTCTATAGCATAGCAGTGGGTGAACCAATGCCACGTATCGACACATTGAGGAAAAGTTGTTAGCAAAAGTTCGAAAATTGTCTTGGGTACGATGAACAGTACTGCAAAAAAAACACTCGGCAGTAGCTTGTAGATTTGAGATTTAATACAAATTACGCTGTGGCTGTTTCTACTTTCTATGAACTTCAGGTCGTCGTCAAAACCGGAACAGAATATTGTTCATCAGTTAAATTGATCGCAAGTGTCCACATTCAAGACTGGATTTATGATAGCATGGCCAAGATGGACGTCGAAGCAACGCTCAACAGACTGGGCGGCTTCGGAAGATCGCATTTGTTGATAGTAGCGCTGTGCTACCTCACCGCCTTCTTCGGGGGAATGCCCGTGGTGCAGGATCCGTTCGTGAACTACACTCCTGCCCATAGGTAGTACGTTCACTATTACACTGTGTATAGGTAGTAAGTTTACTCCTAAACTCCTGCGCATAGGTAGTATGTTTACTTATACACAATTGCGCATAGGTAGTATGTTTACTCCTACACTCCTTCACATAGAAAATATTTTTACTCTTACTTTTCAGGAATGTTTATAGGTGTTTACTCATACACCCCTGGTATAGTTAGTGTGTTTTTTCCTCATACATCTCTGGTATAGTTAGTGTGTTTACTCCTCATACACTCTTGGTATAGGTAGTGTTTACTCCTCCTACACTCCTGGCATAGGCAGAGTGCTTACTTCTCCTACATTCCTGGCGCAGGTCCTATCCTACCTCCTCCTACACTCCTGGCATAGGTGGTATGTTTATTCATCCTCTACTCCTGGTATGGTTAGAGTATTTACTTTACCTTATGATCTTATGATGAGTTTGGGACTTCTCAGTCCATGGTCATGCTGATGCTCCGCCTTCGTCGTCCTCCGTCTCCAAGTCGTCGATCGGCAGGTCAACCCGCCCTCGGGTCCAGGATGTAAAGTTGGACGTGTTCCGTCTATTTGCCCTAATCTGGGCCAGCTGATGCAAGATGCTGTTGCTTGTCAATTGCGTAGGGTAGTTTCCCATATCTGAACAATCTAGGATCTTATTCAGAAACTTATACAGTTGTCTCATGAAAGTCGCTATGGTAAACTCCCCCACTCTCAAGACCTTTGGTAAGGCGTTAAACAGCCTTGGTCCCACCACGGAGAGTCTGTACTCTGGCCGCGGCAGGGTTATTTAATGGGGGAATCCTGTACAGTCTCACCCTCCTTTCGTTGTAATATGTACATCACAATTTTGGAGGCCTCACATTCGAAGTTGGGAGCCAGTCCAGTTATCATCTTTCAAGTGTACAGTACGATATACCTCTCTCTTCTCTCCAGTGAGTTCAGTCCCAGGAGTTTCAGCCTTTCCCAGTAGTTCAGGTCCAGCTCCCTCATGCCGCTGATCCTGTACGTAAAGGTCCGCTGCACTGCCTCCAGTTTCCGCACTGCACCCGCCCTGAGCGGCACCCACAGCTGAAAGCAGTATTAATGATTTGGGAGCACTAGGGCTCTGAAGAGTAGTCATTGGCGCTGCTACTCTTGTTCGAAATGTCCGCCAGATCTACTCCATCCTTTGTCTGCCTCGCGCAACTACTTCCTCGTTGTGGTCATCGAAAGTGGCGTCAGTAAACATCTACACTGCGAGATCTCGAACAGGTTGCTTCTCTTCAATTTCTGTGCCACCCGATGCCAAGTAGCGATATGGCATCCGGGTCTCTGTGCCAACTCTGTATCTCATTACTCCGAACTTGGTGACGTTGAATTGTGAATTGCACATTATTCACTATGGCCCAATCAAAAATTGTCGATAAGTCATCCTGTAACCTCTCGCATCTCGCAGTCTAGGTGCTCTGTGATCTTCATCGGCACTCATGTATCGTTCGCAAATAACGATGTAGATGCGTGGGTAAGCTCAGAGTCGATATCGGCGATGTGGATGAGGAAGAGGATCGGTCCATGCACCGAGCCTTGTGGCACTCCGCTTATCACCCTCGCTTCTGTCGATTTCGAGTCTCCAATTGCGACAGCTTGTACTTTATTTGTGAGGAAGTTGATCCACCCTAACAGACTTTTTCCAACACCAAATAGTCTCAGCTTTCTGAAGAGTACCCCATGATCTACTTTGTCAAAAGCTTTAGCAAAGTCCAGGTATACTATATCCACGCCAGCTCTCTCCTCCAGTAGGGCCATAAGGCGGTGATGGCGTTCCAGTAACTGTGACAAACAGAAACGATTTCACCGGAAACCATGTTGTCCATTATTACATAGTTCAGACTCTTCCATATACTGGACAGGCCTCTTGGCCACTACCTTCTCAAAAACCTTGATCACTTGTGAGGTCAAGTTCACCGGTTGGTAATTTTGAGGTCGTTTCCTCGGGCTTCCTGTGTGGATTGGCGTTATCAGTCCCACTTTGAGACCCCCAGGAATAATTCCCTCCATCATCGTGGCTTTCCAAAGCATTGTGAGCGGAGCCTTCAGAGTACAGAGAACACACTTCTTCACCAACACTGCTGGAAGTGCGTCTGGTCACGGTGCTGAGAACGTCACCCGTTCGTTGACACTTATTTTCATATCTTTTGGTCTAAACTCGTTGTTCTCCAACCTCCTCCAACCTGACAGCTCATGGAGAACTTTGATTTCATTCTCCTCCCTTGAGTACCGGGGGTTACTAAAGACTGCTTTAAACTGCGATCCCGATAACTCCCTGGTCATCTCCGACAAGGACATCGTTATCTTTTAGCGGGCCCGGTTCTCTCTGATGACCTCTGAAAAATACTTCCGAATCTCCTGATGACCTCAACTACTCGTTTATCGGCAGCTTGTTCTTCTAATCCTGTGCGAGTCTTGCAAACTGAGTTCGATTTCCTTGTGCAAATCTACTAGTCTCTGTCTCAATCAGATCACTAGTGGATTCAGCTTTTTGTTTGTTCAATCGTGTGCGTTTTCTCATGAGGATTAGTCATTCTTCCGGAATACTGAAGACTTTCGGCCCCGTTTCTCTCGGGGTGTGACGCACACGTAACTGTGCTAGTTTTTCCCATAGCTTTGTGTAAATTTCCTCTGCATTCATCTCGCGATACTCTTCTCTTCAATCAGTTTCTTCCAGTTCGTTGCAAATTGCCTCCCAATCCGTTATTCGATGGTGAAAGTTGAGTCCTGCTAGTCCGTTTTGGGCAATAGCCGTGGGCTGGGTAACAGTTGCAATTAATTGTCGTATTCAACATCACAAGGCGGTAGTCTGACAGTGAGGTTTCTTAAACCAGAACGTAAACCACCATTCTCACATTATTGGTAAATTGAGATCGAGGATATTGTGTTCCCTTGTCGGCAACTGTACCTGCTGACTGAGCAAATTTTCCGCGGCAAACATCACTAGTTTAGCTTCTTGACTTCAGTCGCGATCACCAACCTCCATGCCACCCAGACTTGTCCAACTGATAAGTGGGAGATTGGAGTCCCCCCCCCATTATCAGACTGGTGAGTGGTTTACCCAGTACAGCCACCCTGGTTTCAGTTTCCTTCAGGGTTTTGTTGAAATTTTCCATTGGGCAAGCAGGCGGCCTATGGACTATGGCTACGTAGAGGTCAAGTTATTTTATGTGGAGTAAACCGATCTGCCAGGCGTCCCTAAGCAAGCAGCTTCTTCATCTGGAGTTGCATTAGTTCCAACTGATACATTTGGTGTTAAAGAATTTAGTCCTTTATGTCTAAAGAAGCTCCGGAGTAACCGCTCGCCCCCCCTCCCCGCGTGCTTCTCTGTTCCATATACACATCGGCTACTTACTGGAGTAGCTAAGTCGTTTATCCTTCGCCATTGACTCCGCTCATTTCCACTCCGTACATCACCGCTCCTACCAACGTTATTTCTCTCAGCGTTGCTCTGTCTTCCCTGAGCGCGAGGGTCGGCTGTGATGTGGCCATCGCTATTTACTGTGAAAGCATAACATTGGTACTCTCTCTATTGACACTTTTTCGGCTTTTTTTCTTGATTTGATAAGCTAGAAACGATAGTTTTCATTGTTGCAATCCTTTCTTTTTATGATGCTCCAGCACGGCGTATAACGATGATAGAAATGGCAATCCTTACCTTCTTTGCACGCTCTTTGATGACCGCTTCCACAGTCAAATAATTTATAACACATCCTAGGGTGTGAGAATGTGCATCCTTCACCATTCTTCCCGTATTTGCATTTATTTTTAAGCTATTTCCAGCAAACACATTTCCTCACTTGCCGCCAGCATGAGGGTAAAGAAGGTACTTCTTGGAATGAGGGTAAGGTTAGAAAAGATAATGTCAAACCTTTCCTACACTTCTGGCATAGGTAGTGTGTTTACTACTCCTACACTCCTGGTATAGGTAGTGTATTTACTCTCTTACACTCGTAGTATAGGTAATGTGTTCACTCCTTAACTTCTGGTTTGGATTGTGTGTTTACTCTTCCTACTTGTGTGTTTACACTTCCTACTGCAACCGTAAGGCGTCCGAAAACTGACTTCAAAACTCGACTGGTAGTGAAGGTGGTGAACGATAGTGAAGGTAGTGAACAAAGTGAATGTGGTAAACGATAGTTAAGGGGTTAATGACAGTGAAGGTGGTGAACGAGAGTGAAGGTGGTGAACGAGAGTGAAGGTGGTGAACGAGAGTGAAGGAGGTGAAAGGTAGTGAAGGTAGTGAACGAATGTGCATTGAAGATGATGAACAATAGTGCAGTGAAGGTTATGAGCGACAGTGTGGTAGTGATTGTGATGAACGATAGTGCAGTGAATGTGATGAACGACAGTGCAGTGAGTGTGATGAACAGTAGAGCAGGAAAGGTGATGAACGATGGTGGAATGACGGTGCAAATCAATTAGCGAATGCGTTGTATGTAAGTGAAGTTAATAATTTTGTAAAAAAACAGAACATTATTCAAACTAAAAAATTAAGAATTATGAGTCATAGACTTCTTAGTGACACTTCACTAATTAAGAATCGCATAGAAAACTGTTCCAATTGAGAATGTTTTTCCGTTGTTAGCTTTTGGTAATAGTAAAGGATGTTTGACTTTCGTGGCAGATGCTACGTGCCGTCATGCGACTCCTCGAACACGACTTACGAAGACGACTTCCTCAACTTCACCACTCCTTCAGAAGACAACGAGTGGGACAAATGTGAATACCACTCACCACTCACCAACGAGACGAGTGCCTTTAATGTGCGGGACTGGGGCATCTTATGGTCAATGTTGTCCGTAAAATAATTTGCGAAATGAATTATGTGAACCGCTCCACAATATGATGCAATTGTGAACCTCACCTGAAAATATTGAAATTTTTTAAACCTTGTTTAAATAACCGAAGGTACATTGTTCAACGCCTATTATCAGGCAATACACTGTCATCACAATATCAAGCAGTTTCATCCCAAATCACAGCGACCTGAACATTTTATAAAATACTTGTAGGCCTTGAACGCAAAACCGAACGTTCATCTGTTGTTTTTTCTGCAAATTAACGGCTTACATATTAAAACATAATTGTTATTATGAGAATTTGTAATTGATCTTTTTGAGCTTCAGGCATTACTTTTTTACTGCAACGTATTTATCAAGTATTTTCTGCTCCTGCACCCCTTAATCACATCTCCATTTTTTCAAGCATCCTGTGGTTCTAATGATAGCCAAATAAATCCAGATATTTTTATCTATAATTTTTTAAATTATTATCTTTCAACACGTAAGCTTAAAAAATCGTTAGGAATTGCATATTAAAGAAAATTTGTAACTGATTATTTAACCTGATGAGGAGATTTATGGAGTACAGTTGGCGTTTGAAGATTTAGTAAATGAAATACTTAAAACTTCAGAATTGATAATTCGTAACTTCGAGTTACAAATTGATGGAAAAGTATCTTTTGCTGAAGTTAAACAGAAATTCAAAAGCTTGGAGTCAAGTTTAGCTTCAATTAACGATGTGAAATTTAATAAAATAACAGAACAAATCATGGAGTTACGAGCAGAGTCAGTTTTGCTGACATAAATGAAAGATATTATTAATAAGATGATAGATATTAAAAACAAACTTCATGAGTTTTGATGAGATATTACATCAAATCAGGATTAAATTAATACACTTAAATTGATGCTAAAAATGAAACTGATAAAAACTTAGAGCTGAGCAAAACATTAACTGATCGTATAAATAATCTTGTAGCTTCTCGAGTTTGGGAGAGTCTGTGGGGTTTAGAAGTTTTACTTTATTAAAGTGACTGGTGTCAATATATTTTGAACAGAAATTAAAAGTACACCCATATCACATCTAAGAGGTCCTCCAGGTATTGGCTTTCAGTGCCTTGACGCAGAACAAAAATTTTGATCTGAATAATCAAAGGCATAGAAATATCTCTTGTCCAATTGAGGATGAGGATGCCGGATGTAAGACTTATTTCGATGGGAAGTTGCATAAGTCTCAAATGTTCCTGTAAAGGATTAAAAAATGATCAATAAAAAAATTAATGTAGTGGGAAAAGGTGTCAGGGTGCATATAAATTTTCTCGAGAAAGAATTGCCTGCAGCAAAATCAATAGTGGAAACTCTTGATGGAGAAGAAACTCAGGAAATGACAGATCATGACAAAAAAGTAACTCAAGAAATTATCGAAGTGCAAACAGAATTGGAAAATCTTGGTATAAAAGTAACTCAGAAAATGACTGATGTAAGATCTAAATAAAAAAAATAAAGAATAATATGAAATCCATCGACAAAAAGTATCATCATTAGCAGCAATCCGAGTTTAATTTTAAAGGCAAATATTGATGGTGTTGAAACACGGGAAGATGACATATATGAATAAGGTAGCAGAAGTAGTAAGAGAACATGATGAGTTTTCTGAGCGACTTGCAAAAGTTGAGGAAAGAATCAATATGGGAACAGATGTTCACTGAAGAACTCATCTGTGATTTTGGGAAAAATAAATAATAAACTACGTTAATAAATTAATCATATGCATTAATAATTTTGCTTAATGAAAATGAGAGGCATTGCACAATATGAAATAATTGACAAACAAAAGTTTTACAATTAACTCTACTTATTGTATAAATGGTTTGGATAAGAAAAGTCATTTCATCTAATTACGTGTGATGAACCATTATAATTATTAGGAAATATAGAGTGATTCATGATGGAAGTGAATCGAGATTAATTGAGGGTAGTTGATACATACGCTATTGTCATTCGAGGCAGCTAGCTTGCGCGGAGAAAAAAGTTTGATGAAATTTCTTATAAAAATGGATGTCGCAATAGCAGATGTCAAAAGACAGGTGATTAAATTCTTAAAATATTAGTAGCTGCATATTGATGTTAGTAATATCCTCCATGATATTCACCATCTATCCACTGAAATAAATCATATTATAATTCGAGTGAACGAATTAGAACAAAAATTGGAAAGGATTCTAGAAATGCCCAATAAGGATGCCCAAATTATCGTCGTGGATGCCCAATAAGTGGAAAGACGATAATAAAAATAAACAGAAGAACCATTTTGTATTTCCATCTCCAAGTCTGAGGTTTAGCTATTGGAGAACTTTAGTTGCTATTGGAGAACTTCATTGATTTCAACAATCTTTTCCTATATTGCAAGTCATAAGCCTGAACATAAGTTGTTATCGAACGCTTTCGATAAGGGATATAATAAATCTGAACTCATTTATTATTTTCTGTTGGCAATGACAATATTGATGAATATCTTGAAAACTTACCTAAACGACGCCAAAAAATGTACAATCGAATAGTTTTAGAATACTTCTTATATGACTGATCCCAGTGATATAGATCTTAGGAAGAAGAATTTGTTCATTTTTGATGATATTGATATGGAAAAGAAGCAAAACTCTGCCAATAGTTCTTACCCACGAGGAAGAAATCATAACTGTAGTTCAATTTATTTAACCCCAAAATTATCAAACATTATACCAAGACAAACCATTAGAACGAATTCAAATTTATTCATTCTATTCGAGTTACCTTTCATCGATAGGAAGAATATTCACAGTGATTACATTGCTTGTGATATGCCCTTTGCAGAGTTTCAAAAACTGTGCAATGAAACGTACAGAGCACCATATAGTTTGGTGTTGATCAATAAAGATGAGCACCCAGGTTCTGGAAAGTATTTCAAAAATTTAAGTCAATTCTACATTCCAAATAAGTATCTTCCATCAAGACACTTGCTCAAGCCCTGAGTTCACGGTCAAAAGAGCACATGGTCGACCGTGGTTACATGGTGGTATGCAAAAATTAGATGGTCAAGATTCGGGGTAAGATTGTGGGTAAATGGTAAGGATTTTGTTCGGAAGACATTGCTCAAATTTTTGGTGATCATGATTTGAAATAAAATTGTGGGTAATTGACCAGGTTTCATTCGAGGGTAATTGGTCAATTTTTATGGTCAAGATTCGAAATAAGATTGTGAGTAAATGATCGGTAACCTATTATTTAAGCTGTTTATAGAAACTGTGGTGATGATGTATTCACTTCTGTAACTACTTACATAGTATTATTTAGGAATAAAGTTCGGCTTAAAGTTTACTATGAAATGAGGTTATACTGTATGTTGGAGTTTTAACATTGATGTCTTCGGCATCCAGTCAAACTAAGGATAAGTCTAGAGTATATCCGAGGCCGTTCTCTACTCTGACTCTGAATTAGCTTTACTGCCCTGTGTGACATGGATAGAGCAAAGGGTTACACTGACATCGGTTCTCGCCCACGATTGAGGTTTCCGGGTCTAGGCAGAGCTCATATAACATAACATAACATAACATAGTGATGTCGGCTCTGAAGTGTAGGCCTGATGTGGCCTGTCGCCGATTCTTTTCCATTTCGTGAAACATACGACTGAGTTGAGTTGAGTATAGTAAAGTTCCCTCGAAAATTAAGGCTGGAAAAACAGCTGAGCTGCAGCTGGCGAGGGAAACACAGAGCAACACAGATCTTGCATATAGACTTTCTACCAAGCTAAAAAGTCACCATCGGCTTGGATTAGGGAAGGTTAATACAAAGATATGTTTACGGATATATCGCAATCAAGGCAATTATCTTCTAACATGGAAGATACTAATGAGGAATTATCTAAGGTTGAATGGTATTAAACTTCACCACCTGACAGTAACCTCTAAAATCAATCATGTTCATTGCATAAAAAAACTTCAATGCTGATTACATTACCAAATATTTCTAAACAGAGATCTGCGTAAATTTCCTCTGCTTCATTAGTTTTATATCATATTCTTCTCAGTATGCATCAAGACCCATCCAAATACTGGCGTCTCTATGGCGGGACGAGAAGGACGAGGCGCGGTCTGGGGGCGCGACGTGCGAGGCCGACCACTTCGCTGTTGCTGACGTGCGAAGCTGCGACCACGGCTGGGTGTACGACCACGAGCTCTTCCAGACCTCCACTACTATGGACGTGAGAACGACGTGACACTGGGCATGACGCGACAATGTGCGTGAGAATGACGTGACAGTGGGCATGACGTGACAATGTGTTTGAGAACTGCGTGAGAGTGGACGTGACAATGTGCCTAGAACGACGTGACACTGGGAATGACGTGACAATGTGCGTGAGAGTGGATGTGGCACTGTGCCAGGGAATGACGGGGCGATGGACGTGACAATGAAAGTGAGAGTGACGGGACAATTGGACGTGAAATAGAGTGGTGATAGATAATGGATAGGGTGATAATGGGCGTAGGAATGACTTGTCAATAGGCGTGACTATAGCTCAATTGCACTGCATTTTTCAACAATTCTCATTGGGCTTTTTGACGTTTTAAGTAAGGACCGCGAATGATTCTGGTCTGTACACTTCATAGGTTCTTCCGCACAAAATAATTCATGATTAGCATAACGGTACGACATCGCAAGCGTCGTGATACGTGCGCCCGACGTGTTCAGAGCATTAGTCAAGGGGAGCGTCTGGGTCCCAGAAATACTTTTTTATTTACCAACGGATCACTTTGAAACTTGGTACACATATGTAAACATAAATCTAAGATTTTTTGGTCGTATAAATTTTTCGAAAAAATGAATGAAAACGTGAAATTCTGAAAAAACGGCCAGGAAGGGGGTACTGTTGAAAATTATCTTCTCCTAGGATTTTCAAGCTACAACATCGAGACGCATATTATTCGATGCGTAAGAATCCTATCTATCGATTCGTCATAGCTTCTTTTGAAATTCAAATTTTTGCGGGTGTGGGGGCAATTTTCGTAAAATTTTCGAAAATTTTTTTATTTCCCATTTTTCCCCCCACTTTTTTCGAAATATTTTCAAAACTATAACAAAATTGAGAAAAAGCTACGACCAATCTTTAGATCTTTTATCTGCGAATCGAATGGTATATCTCTCATTGCTGTAGCTTCAAAACTATAGCTTCTGTCAAGGATGGTGAGCATAAACCATACCCCACGACTGCTGAAGGGTTACTGGAGCGGAAATTGTGAAGACTAGCTATTTAAGGTGCACTGAGGCATTTACTCCCTAGCGATCTCCACCAACCCTTGCCCTTTCGCGATCTGTCGTGAACGCGTAAATCCACGTACAGAGATGATTTTGGGACCGATGGGTAGGTCAGAATGTCAGCTTTAAAATGAGATGAAAAACCGGAAAGGCCAAAATAGTCGATTTTGGACCCAGACGCTCCCTTAATCCTTTGGGTTTACCCCGACATTATTAGATTACCATAAGAATATGTGAACACATTACATTATTGCGCGTTTACCACAACATTATGGCCTGAATATTATAATTGATTAATGCTGACATAATAATAAGTGCCAGTATGCGGACATAAAAATAGCTATTACGAGATCACGCTGCAGTTTGACTTGGTGTGCGACAAGTCCTTCCTGACGTCCATGACGTCGTCCGCCTACAACGCCGGCATGCTGCTGGGGGCCATCACCAGCGGCGTCATGGCGGACAGGCTCGGCAGGAGAGTGAGTTATTGGTCTGAGATCTGGCACACAAAGAATTATTAATATGAAATACTAGCTGGTTAGCCTCACTTTGCTAGGATTCGTTAATCCCTATAATCCCGTAGTACAGAATGCAGTAAATAGTATTCATGCTGAATGTTACTAATTGAAGAAAGAACCGTTCTATACCGCAGTTCACAATAAGTATAGAACTCTCGTTTGATTCAAGTTTTAAAGTAGGAAAGAATTTAATTTTTTTCAAGTTAAATTTAAATATTCTAATTTAAAAATTGAATCGTAATTTGTTGATCCAATCCTTTCCTCTCGACACGCAAATTATCGTTGGTAGTCACTCGAAGAGCCTTTTTATATGTGGTGTCAGGCTTCAAAAACAAACTTTGACCAAGTTGGATGTAATTGGGTAAATATGGTTGTAGTTACTGTTATGGTTTGATTTATTGTACCATCCTTTTTATGGAATATGAATTAGTTTATGAGGCAAATAGAACGTCCGACGACGAACTATTAATGACCCTGATAAGCGACCATCAATATTAAATTTGCTATAAAATGATCCTTCTTTAAGAGCTACGATTATAAAAAAATCCCGACATTAGCGCGTAACTCTCTCGGTTCGTTATGTAAAATACAGAGTTATTCTTAATGATGAACCCTAGTGAATAAATTCGTATGCATAATCAATAATTTATTATTATAATTTATACACCAATGGAAAGAGAAAGATTCAAAATTTTCTTTCACATATTTCAAATGTTAATTCTAAACACGTCGAGCTGCCGATTCTTTCATATTCATTCTTAAATGAATTGAAATTTATTTGATTGGCTCCATCATTTAGAATAACCCTGCAATATACTGAAGAATAAGCTAAAGTTGGCGTGTAGTTGTCTTACATGTTGTCGCTGGTGCTGCTGGTGGCGGGGAGCTCGCTGGGGGCGGCATCCACAGGCCCCGTGATGCTCATCCTATTGAGGCTACCCACAGGCTTCGGTGCTGTCGCCGTCTACCAAATTATATTCGTTCTTTGTACGTATAACTTTACTTTTTAATTTATTTAATATACTTATGAAAAATGAAATCGATAGAAATAAATAAGACAATTATATGAAACCTCGCTTTAATTTTGAAAACTGTTAATTTTATGTCACGCGAAAGATCATCATCGGGCTGACGATTTCAAGCTTGCAAGCGTATTTTATGTTGTACATTAACTAATGAGAATAATATAATGAATATCAGTCGATAGGACGTGAACAATGCTATAATATGAATACATATGACAATACAGTTGATGAACATCTAGGTTTACTCGGCTGTTTCACACTTAATGATGAATAAATATGGAAAGGTAGACCAATACCAACAGTGGGTGAAAAGACACAAGCAGGTAGGTGTACATGACCAGCAGGTGCTGAGTACGTGCCCCAGGAGCTAAGTACTTGCTTCATCAAGAGCTGAGAACGTGCCTCAGGAGCTACCGAGTACATGCCCCAGCAGGTGCTGAGTATATGCCCCTGTAGGTAGTGAGTACATGTCCCAGCGGTTCTGAGTACACGCTTCAGCAGGTGCTGAGTAAATGCCCCAGCACCCGTTGAGTACGTGCCCCAGGAGCTACCGTGTACATGCCCCAGCAAGTGCTAATTACATGCCCCAGTATGTGACAAGTACATGCCCCAGCAGGTGCTGAATACATGCCTCAGCAGCACCGCAGCGTCGTAGGGCTGCTCTTCAACGTAAGCTTCGCTCTGGGCGAGGCGACCGTCGGCGTCTACGCCATCTTCATCCGGCGCTGGCGGATGCTGCAGCTCACCATATCCCTGCCCATGTTTGTTCTGGGCATCAGCTACTGGTGAGGCTTTGTATATATTGCTCCTGTCATGATGCCATATCCCTGCTCATGTTTGTTCTGGGTATCAGCTACTGGTGAGGCTTTTTATATATTGCTCCTGGCATGATACTTTATCCCTGCCTGTGTTTTTTTCTGGGTTTCAGTTCAGTAGTGGTCGAGAGCGGACGCACGTATTCGTGATCCCAAATTTTTACCTTTTACTGTGCCGGTTTGGAACTCTTCGCATTTTTTAAGATCTGTGTCAGTGAAAGACCGAATTTCAGTGAAGTCAGTAAAAGAGAGTGCGAATAGAAAAACAAGCCTATAGTATAAGTGTTTTCATCCTAAATAACGCTGGCGTTAGAGTCAGTGAGGTAAACTTGTTGCAGCAAGTGAAGGTAACATCTGCACTGCCTTACCAACAAAGGACAATACTGCCTTTGTTTCTTGTCCAAGCACCTCCTACTTCTTCCCTGAACACTTTACCGCCGCTTTCTGAAAGCTGCTTACTCTCAAGTCGGTAATCGAGTTTTTGCAGCACTGGAAATTCGAACAATTTTTATTCAACTTGATTCAGTTTTTAAATTGTGTTTTTTTGCTCATGCATTTCATGATGGCTGGACAGCGAGGAAAAAGATTAATTGAAAAGGCCTCCAGTCCTGTTAAACCGTTTGCGAAGATCAAATCACAGAATGAACTAGGGGATATTCGTAAATTTTGCAAGCTGGTATCGCTCAACGTCGATGACGCTGCAGTTAGTGGCCTGTGATAGTTGCGGGGAAACCATCTGCAACAGTTCTGCAAAGTTGAGCAAGACAGATTGCTCAGTTATTCGCAGAAACGCGATAATTCGCTGGTATTGCCAGGACTGCCGAAAGGATGGTGGAAGAGAAGTGCCCTTCTATGTTCTCTGTCTTTAAGGGAGAAATGTAAGAAGCTCACAAGAAAGAGTTGATAAAGAGAGCCGAAATGAAGTAGAACCCCAATAAAGAGTTGAGCTTGCTACATAGGTAATTATACTCGTTGCGAAACGAGCTGGTGGAAATGAAAGCTCATCGACACAAAACAGAGAATAGAGATAACACAGAAGGTAAAGGCCGCAAAGAGGTCATCTCTGATCTGGCCAGAGAGAGCACTCGTGACTCGTGAGCTGCTGGATAGAGAGAGAAGAAGACTTAAGCATGTTGGTTTTGGCGTTTCCGAAAGCAATGATTCGGACGACGCTGCGTTTATTATTGATTGTTGTGCCAAGGCACTTAACGTCGTTGTGAATATAAAGGCATGCAAGAGGCTGCGAACAGAAGACACTACCACCTGTAGACCGCTGCTTGTAACTGTGCAGGATACAGCCCACAGGTCGGACATGAGCTTAAGTTTGAAAGAAAACTAAGTGAATTCGCATAGTTTAATTCAGTCTATGTTAAAAAGGATGCTACCTCTTTAGAAAGAGCAAATTTTTGCAAGAAATGGCAGGAGAGAATCAGGCCGAAAAATACGGAAACTCAGGTCAACCACTCTCACGGCGTCGAGACAACACCGGCCGCGCACGACCAGTCAGCGGAGCTGGAAGACAAGTAAGAAGTCATGTCTATAGATCCAATCCTAAAAATAATGTAAGAAGTAAACGCATGCATGTTAGCTTTGATCGCAAACGAGTGCATAGACATTATTTGTTTTACAGAAATACTCCCTAAAAAACACCGGGGGAAATTGCACCTGTTGAATTTCTGTGGCCAGGTTTTGATTGTTCTCATGTCTTGAATGAAGTGCAGTGCAGTTGAGGTGTAGCTCTGTGGGTTAGAACCTCTTGTGGGGCCAAGCAAGTTGAGTTATCTACAGAGAATAAATCAGCTAGAGAATCAGTGTGGTGCGCAATTTCTCTCAAAGGCAAAAGTAGCTTCCTCATAGGCGTCATAGCAGATTACCAAACATTTCCTCTGATAACGATGGAATACTACCTAGTCTTTTGCTGAGCATGACTTACCTTAGGTCACACACGTTGATCGTAGGTGATTTTAATCATCCAGAGCTAGAATGGATAGATGGATCCTCTCCAAGGGATGAGAATCACCCAGGATCCTTGTTCATGGAGTCTGTGAGAGACTCCTTCCTAGTCCAGCACGTTACTAAGCCAACCCATTATAGAAGTAAACAGACTCCCAATATTCTAGACCTAGTGTTTACTAGTGATGAATCAATATTAGATGAGCTTCGTCACGAGACTCCATTGGGCAAAAGCCATCACCAATAATTGATTTTCAGTATTAAGTGCTGTACAGAAAAGACGCGCCGGAAGCGTGAGTGTTTGAATTTAGCGAAAGGCAACTATGATAAACTCCGTGAAGCAGTGAATGTAGTGAATATTTCGAACTGTATCAAGGACTTGAATGTGGCTGAGTCATGGTCACTTCTCAAGGACACGGTTATGTCTGCAGTTGATGCGTGTATACCTAAAATTAAGCTTGGTGGAGCCAATAAGACTCAGTGGATGAACAGTACAGTTCTAGCTAAGCTGAAAACAAAGAAGGAAGCCTACCAGTGTTATTTACAGACTCGTAGCGATGCTGACTATAACCTATACGCAAGAGCTCGAAATCAAGCTAAAGAAAGCTGTCGCACCGCAGTAACAACCTCCGAAAAAAATATTGCCAAAAATGCAAAAAAGTAATGCCTTCTTTTTGTACGCTAGCTCGCAGTGCAAGACAAGGACGGTAATTCTGATTCGAAAGTAGATCAACGAAAGATATCCTCTGATGAGGGCAAGGCTAACATTCTTAATCGTTTTTTTTTCAGTAGCGTATTTACTGAAGAGGGCTTGAACAGTATTCCAGCTATTGAGAAACGCCCAGTCGGCTCTAAATTAACGAGTTTTGATATACAATAAAGAGAAGTTCTCAAGCGCTTGATGGCTCTAAATCCCAACCGGACTTTTCATGTGCACCGGACGGCTTCCAGCATTCCACCCCAGATTACTCAAAGAGCTAGCAACCGTCCTAGTCAGCCCTTTGATGTCTCAACAATGCGGCATCTCAACAAAAACAGCTATACTTTCTTACCTCCAAAACGAGCAGAGAGCGCGCGAAACACTGATACGACACTTCTCCGGACCAGACTGGGTGACCCACACTAGAGCAAAAAGTGCATATATAGACAGTCGCCATCTCATATATCCGAGTGTATAGTAAACAATTGCTACATGTTTTGTAGAGATTCTCACTACCGCAGGGTGGCGCCGGAGAGCGCGCGCTGGCTGATCACTCAAGGGCGTGAGCAGGAAGCTGAGATCCTCGTGCGAAAAATGGCCAAGTTTAACAAAATTTCAGATTTTGATATCGTCTACCTGGTAATAATGATTCTGATCTTAAAACATAACTTGTAAACGCCTAATCGCTTTATACAGAGAACAGCATTAACCCAGATGCACTTAAAAATCTGAAATATTTCGCAGCCATGTCGTTGTATTTAGTACACATGTAATTAACTAATGCGCATAAGACTAGAAAATCATCTTGCTTTCTTGATATTATATTATATTGTCGACATAATTAATTATTGATTCTTTAGATAAGTTGGCAAAAGTTGCTTTACTTTCGTGTTACGCATGATATAACGATTGACTGTTTCCTTGCAGCAAGAGAAGACCAATATGTCACCTGATGACGATAAACAAGAAAGCAAAAACGTCTTGAATTTACTGAAAACGCCAAATATGAGGACGCGCTCGTTGATCCTTTTCTATGCCTGGTAAGTTGGTTCTTACAGTATGTATTACAAACCTAAAATAAAAATTGAGTCACTAAAAATACATTCCCCAAAATATAATACCATAGCCTAACAAAACGCCCGTGCATGAACTGGGAGATTTGACGTTCATAAACTGTATTTAGTAGAAAAGCATTTTTCTTGAACTTTGTTTCTTCCCATCACTTTACTCTAAATGTTTATAACGGTAACTTATTATTGATTGACATAACGCACAATATAAGAAGTAATAGACATGAGTTACATTCTTCATTTTGATTTAAACGACAGATGAAGTTGAGCCACTTTTCTTGAAAACAATTATTGTTACCGGTTAGAAATGGAAGCGAGTAAATTCAATGATCCATACGGACGTCCGAAAAACACTGAATTTGGGAATTTTGGAACATTGAATAAAAAAAACAATGAATTATTAATTCAGGTTCACGACATCGATGGTCTACTACGGCATCTCCCAAAACGTTGGCAACCTCGAGGGAAACATTTTTGTCAATTTTATCGCCACGATGCTCATCGAAATTCCTGCAACTCTTCTTATTGCAATTGTTTTCGACAGGTGACATGTAATTTACTTTCTATTTAGAGACTTCATTTGTCTATAGGTTTTTGTTATGCAAAACTTATTGATCAATATACAATTATGATCTATACGCAAAGATTGTTACTACACGCCACTCATTAAATCTCCGCACAACGTCAGTTCGGTAGCTGCAGGTATTATTTTTCCGTCATTATTTGCTGATGGGCCACAGAGGTCATTATACACGGCATGCACATTGATATCCTCCTACCTCACCGTATTGAAAACTGATATGTATATCTTGAAATTGTCATTCTGAAAATAAGTCAAAATTCTGGAATTGTAAATTTTGTTTTGCTCAAAAACACACATTTATTTCTTAATCGATATTTTAATTTTTTCTTTTAATTTTCATCAGACTTGGTCACAAAGTGTGTCTAGTGGCGTCGGTTCTCATAGCCGGGGCTGGCTGCTTCAGTACTGCCTTCCTGCCTGCCGGTGAGATGAACTATGATATTTTATTAAGACTTAAATCAAGTTAAGGTGGAGTCAACTCATCGTCTGAGGCCAACCCTCGATCAGTGACCTAGTGGACTCAAAGTAACTAGGTCTGCTGGTAAACAAATGAGGTATCCTTGGTATTTGTTTCGGACGTAGCAGTCCCAGGCCATGATGGATCGCCGCATCTGATTATCGTTCATCCGCCCACATTTGGGCCACCTGATGCACGATGCTGTTGCTTGCTCCTCGCCGCTGATAGTGTTGCAGAGGAGGTCGATCTGAGATTGCACCCAGAAACACATCCAGTTGTCTCTTGAAGGTCTCCAGGGTGAACTCCCCCTTTCTTAGATCCTTTGGTATGACGTTAAACAGCCTCGGCCCTGCCACGGAAAGTGTGGGGGGATCTTGCAAAGTCTCCCCCTTGTCTCGTTGTGATATGTCTCAATCCTGAAGGTCCCGCTCTTAAGGTTTGGCGCCATTCCGGTTATCATTTTCCATGTATACAGAATGACATACCTCTCCCGTCTTCTCTGCAGTGAGTACAGACCCAGGCGCCTCAACCCCTCCCAGTAGTTCAACTCTTCCATCCCTCTGATCCTGGGAGTGAAGGTTTGCTGGACACCTTCCAGTTGCCGCACTGCGCCGAGTGTAAACGGGGTCCAGAGCTGGCAACAGTATTCAAGAATCGGTGGCTCTAAAAAGTTTAAAAAGTCAAGGGCTCTAAAAAGTGTGATCATCGGTTCCGCTTCTCTTGTTCTGAACGTCCGCCATATCCAACCCATCTGTCGCCTACCTCTTGCGGTTATTGCCGTTACGTGATCCCCAAAATTGACCTGAGTATTCATCAACACTCCTAGATCACGAACGAGTCGCTTCTCTTCGATTTCCGAGTTGTCAGGTGCTAGGTAGCGGTGCTCCATACCAGCTCTTCCGCTACCTCTGTATCTCAAAACCTCAAACTTGCTCCCGTTGAACTGCACGTTGTTCACTTGGGCCCAGTCATATATTGCAGAGGGGTCTTCTTGCAACCTCTCGCAGTCCCTCCTGTCCGTTATGATCATTAGTATCCTGGTGTCGTCCGCGAATGACGATGCAGAGGCGTGGTTCATATCCACATCTATGTCGGCGATGCGTATGAGGAAGATGATTGGGCCGCCGTTCCCTCTGGTACTCCACTCTTCACCCTAGCCTCGCTCGATCTCGAGCCTCATACAATGACAGCGTGTAGTCTTTCTGTTAGGAAGCTGTGGATCCATGCCAGCAATTCACCTCCGACCCCCAGCAATCTTAATTTTCTGAAGACCACTCCATGGTCAACTTTGTTAATCGCTTTCGTGAAGTCCAAATACACCACGTTCACCCCGGCCCCCTCCTCCAGCATGGCCAGGATTTGGTGGTGATGCTCTAGTAGCTGAGACAAACCGGAACGATTTCATCTAAAACCGTGTTGTTTTCTGTTGAAAAGGTCAGCCTCTTCCATGTACTGCACCAACCTTCTGGCAAGAACATTCTCAAATACTTTGATTACGCGTGATGTTAATGTAACCGGCCTGTAATTTTGGGGTTTGTCTCTCGCACCACCTTTGTAGATAGGGGTTATTAACCCTAATTTTAGGCCACTTGGAACACTTCCTTCTCTTAATGATGTTTTCCAGAGCAAAGTCAGAGGGATCTTTGTGCACAGACACATTTTTTCAGTAAACCTGCAGGGACCCCATCTGGCCCGGGAGCCGAATACATCGATAATTATTGGATTCTCCTCTCTGGACCCGGTGTTTCAAACTCAATGTTCGTCAACTCCCGCCCCCCCCTGGAAGTTCTTGAATGACTCCAATTTCGTTCTCTTGTCTTGAGTATCGGGGTTCGCTGAATACTTATTCAAATTGCGCTCCCAGAAGTTCGCGAATGCCCTCGTTATCTCCAACAAGGACACCGATTTGTATCCACATACTAATCCCAGACACTTTACACCTAAAACGTTTACAGCTTTCCAGTTTTACTAAGCAGTTATTCAATATCCATTCCCAAGTGCTTCTACATTTTGGAGAAACGAACTGGAATGGAGCTTAACCTTCCCACCCATTACTGCAGAGGCGTCCACCGTCATCGTGGTGCTAAGCCTCGCAGGGAAGTTCGGAGCAGCTGCAGCGTTCAGCGCGCTGTACGTGTACGCCAGTGAAGTGTTCCCTACGTCGCACCGCAGCACAGGGCTCGGCTGCTGTTCCATGTTTGCCAGAGTCGCCGGTGTCATAGCTCCTCTGGTCGACCTGCTGGTATTATACCTAAAATAATGATGCAAATAATGAACAGAATATTATTGTAGAAATAAGTACTATTCCTGAAATAATATTGTAGAATATCTACACAATATTTTAAGGGGACCGCCCTAGCTAAAATTTGAAAATTTTGAGTTTTTCTGTTTCTTATCTCATCTTAAAGGTTGTTTTCTTGCGCATCGAACGGTATAAGTATCGTCCCTGTACGTCGAAAAATGACTTTGTGACAGCTCCTCAAAGGGAGGCGGGTTTTAGGTCCCTTAACAAAACTCTACGAGGATAATATGGGGGAGAAGGGGGGGGAGGGGTGAAAAATGAGAAAAAAATGGGAAAAATAGAAAGAAACGCAATAAAAAAAACTAGATGGAAAATGAAAAAAGTGATGTTAGAGTCAATAGATATGGTCTTTACGAATCGATTGATACGTGTCTCGATGTTGTAGGATGATATTTGTGGGAGGAGATAGATTTTCTAAAGTACCCCTTTTTAGCCGTTTTCTATGAATTTCACGTTTTCTATCAATTTTTTCGAAAAATTCATAGGAGCAAAAATTTTTTTTTACATTTTACGTATGTATGTGAAGTTTCATGACAATCGGATAATAACTGTAGAAGTTTTCGTATGCTAGGGCGGTCCCCTTAATCGTTGGTGTAGTTTGGCAGAAGTTGTTCTTTATTGCAGGTTTCATTGAATACTAGAGTACTTCCCATTGAGAATTTTCTTATCGTTTTTCTCTATTCGGCGAATTAGGCTTTTGTTAGTAATTAAAAATTCAAATATCAGGTTTCCAAAAGACATTTTACTATAATTTACGGCATTTCGAGTGCAACTACATTCATTTTCAGGTGGAAAAAGAGTTTTGCAACACTTGAATTTGAAATTTCGAAATGATGCTAGTTCATACACAGGGTATTATGGATAGAGATTGCAATCAAAGCTTGAATTACGAGAACAGTTTTAACGTCCTTACAAATCCGTTAGTTTGCAAATTTATAGCTGGAGACTTCTGCTTGATGACGAGAGCCTCAACTATCGTCAGTCTTGAGGCGTGTGGAAAAATCGAGTTGATGCTGGTGTAGGTCTCTAACGTCGTATGAGTGAGGATCTCATTATGAGCCTTTTTCATGTGGTTTTAGGTCCTCCGGTCTGGAGGTGGCATGTTAGACGGCGGCTCAAAGTAATGCTGGTCAAACCAATGTAAATTACATTTTGGAAAAGTCTACAACCTTCTTTGTGGCATGAATATTTGTAAATAATATTGTTGTCTTATAATGGTCGTGATATTGGCATGGATTAATTATTTTTCATTATTTGATTCTTAAGTTTCGTGTTTTTATACTAAATCAGGAGATTGATTCGGTCAGTTGCGATTGAGCTTCTGATGATATTCAGCACAATTGATTGGAGGACTCTTTCATCTGTCTTATAGCCTCATAGTCATCTGGTTTTGGTAATAAATTTTCGTAATACTTACGTTGGATGTTGGTTCATCGTCCGTTTGACGTGCTCGATAGTTTAAAATTTCAGTATCGATAGTTTATTCGCATTACCGTTGTTTGCTAGAATAACTGGCAATATTTTTTAGCATATTATTTAATTTTGTATGATAATAGTATTAGTAAAAAACAATTAAGTAGTTTAAATTACAAAAATTATTAAGGTACATTCCATTTGCTTACAGGGAAAATTAAACCCCGCACTTCCTCTGCTCGTGTTTGGGATTCAGGCAGCGGTATCAGCCTTCTCCATGTTATTCCTACCGGAGACAACGGGCTGCCCCTTAACGCAGACTCTCAGTGAGAGTGAACAGCTTGGCTCGTGAGTCCGGTTTTACAGGAGCGGAGTTTAAGCTTAACTGGCTTTCATACAACTCATTATCTCTGTCCTAAATAATTGCTTTATTTATAGTGTATTGTGTATACTGTATTTATTACATGATTCTAGTGATTAAGGATAATGTGCATGCAGAACCCTGTATCTGGTTCTGTGTTTTCGGCAGAGGTCAGCCGTGTTGCTTCTTTCCCAGCTGCACGTCCTACGACCCGAGGTCTGAAGGAGAAGAGGAGGCAGAAGAAATTACGGAAGTTATTGCAGATAAATGCGGAGACGTCGTACAACTTGCCGCAAGGGATGAAAACGTTGCAGAACTTGCTGCAAAAGATGAAAACAACTTAGAACTTGCCGCCAAAGATGATAATGACGTAGAACTAGTTTCAAAAGATGATAACGACGTAGAACTTGCCGCCGCAAAAGATGATGCCAATGTAAATCCTGCCGCCAAAGATGAAAACGACGCGGAACGTGCCGCAAAAGATGATTACGTTATAGAACTTGGTGTAAAAGAAGAGAACGACTAAGAAATTAGCTTAACAAAAGATGAAGACGACGTGAAACCTGCCGAAGCAAAAAAGCGGGGATGCTGTAGAACTTTACGTAGCAAATATGAGGACGACGTAGAACTTGAGGTAGCAAATACAAAGACGACGTAAAACTTGACGTAACAAATATGAGGACGACGTAGAACTTGACTTAGTGAATTTGAGGACGACACAGAACTTAAAGTACCAAATATAAGGACGACACAGAACTTAAGGCAGCAAATGTGAGGACGACGTTGCACTTAACTGACACCAAGGCGCAGACATAGCAGGCTTCAGAGAGGATGGAAAGCATTCAACGTCTAGGAATAGACACTGAAATAAAAAAAAAAACGTAATTCTGAATACTAAAGTGACTTTATCCTCCATATATGAAGAATGCTTTGATTTGTGTTCAGACTTTAAACAGCAAAATTAGTTAATTCATAGTTTTCTGAAAGTTTGTTTCGTAGATGGTTTAATTCGTCTCCATTTGAACAAGTTTTAAAAGAGTCGTATATGAATCGAATTCTTAACCGACTATTACACATTATAAATTCTCTCATGATGTTTCCAGAAAGATTCTTTTTCTTAGCTATCACGTCACTTCAATTATATCAATTTATAGGAAAATTTCAGTTTTATCCTGAATGAATGCGTCGTGTGTCCCTTGACTCATGTAATGTTGATCTTCAATTGTTTTTCTTCTTCAACAAAGGACCAATCTTTTTTAAATTTAGTATTATAATTGAAGACTAAATATTTGATCGTGATGACATGATATTGTATAGATCAGATTTAGGTCGGAGTAAGAAGTGGCTATTTCACACCGAAGTAATCAGGCGAGCAAAAGTTCTCATGGGGGCGGGTAATATCCCGAAACTTTTATTCCTGTGAGCCACTGGCACAAGGACGCCCCAAGCTTGCCTAGCGCAAAAATTAGCGGCTATGGTTATACGAGTAAAATAAACATCGATTATAATCCGGTCACAGACCGAGCGAATTTGGGGGTGACCGTGGGGCGCGCGCATTTAGTCTCTGATAGCTCCTGTACGGATACGACCGAATCTTAGAAGTGCGTTAAAAAAGTGCCCCCTTCCATCCCTCTTATTATTGGCAATATGGAGGGGACATTTGAATCGCTGTACGCTATATGTATATATGCAGACTAGACGGATACAAAAAATGCATCACCGCCGCATAATTAAGCAAATGGCAAGGAAACACTAATTTGAATTGGAGATAATATTAGTTAATACTAACCCTACCTTTCCACATTACACACTTTTAAACTTTAAACGTTTAACCTCAACTTCCCACATTACTCACAACATTGTCCGCTTGAAGAAGAGGTCTGCTTGGATGCAAGAAGAAGAGTGTTTTTTTTTACCTGGGCCAAGCGATTACCCCCACATGCCTATTTTAAAGTGTCCGGAAATTAAATTGCTTGCTAAAGGACTGAATGAAAATAAAAACTTGAATTATTAAAAAATACGCTTGAATTGCTGCTAACAAAGATATATAAGTAACTAACTCGAGAAAAAATTGAGATATAATTGAGAATAATTCAATAGGCAAACGAGAACATAATTACCTTAAATGAAAAATCCACTTAAGAGGCTGAAGCCAAGTAAGGGTACGTACACAGTGAAAGCAGGTTTGCCCGCGCACCACAAGAATGAACATAGGATAATAATGTAAGTGTTCACAGTGAAAACCTGTACGAATAGGCTTCTGTATTCTATGGTTTCAGGCGCCAGCCTGATCAGGTAACCAGCACGCTGGCAATCTGCTTTCACTGTGTGCGTACCCTAATGCGCCGAGTTAAATTAGTAAGAAGGATTACCACAGTGAGATTATAAATTAAAGCATGCGGTTAATTGGAATTAGTAATCGTTGCGGAGAAGCAACTTTAAGGTTTTAATTTGAACAAACTTGGCCAATCAAGTGCAGGGATGCAATAAGTTTGATGAATCAGAGGAAATTTAGGGCAAGACTCGCTTGCAACACCGGCGGCTGTCAAGGCTCATCGATCGTCCCTTTACTAGATTAAAGGTAATGAGCGACGTTAACTCTTTCTTCACTTTAAGATAGATGGAAATTTTAAATATAAATTTTAACATCTTAATTTTCAAAAACTATCTATTAAATTTCTAATGTAATTACTGGTGTAATTTTCATACACCCATACATTTCTGTACATTAACGTTTATAAATAATTGAATCGAATGAAGCTATAATTAATTAATTAACACACTGGCGTTAAGCTATAATTGATTTAACCAACTGCTCAGATGTCAGAGTAGACGAGGATGTTAAGGTGCAGTAGTATGGACATATTATTAAAAATAACGCATGGTGATATCTGAATGCACGAAAAACTTTACACTTGACTGATTTTAAAATAAACGTGTATTGAAAATATGTTCCACTATCAATGAGCGCTTTATATATTTTTTACATGCAGCCCTGCTGGAACAGAGTTTGTACCAATAATTTGGGATCTTAAAACAACGAAAAACATTTGTCGCACTAATGGGGTTTGATATTATCTTCTTATATTATCTTCTTCTTTGATATTATCTTCTTTCTCTTCTTTTTTCATTATCTTCTTTTCTCTTCTTTGATATTATCTTCTTCTTATTATGGGGTTTGATATTATTATTATCTTTATCTTTCAAATAACAATTGAAGTTTCGTCGCAAACTCGATCTCCATTTCTTTCACAACGAACTTATGACATAGGCGAGCTAAAATAGCGCGGTTGCGATGATTTGAAAGTGGATTTAATTTCAAAATGTGTGCCATTGGATAGTTTATTATTTAGATAAATACCGATTATATTACGTCGATGCTTTGACAGGCGCTTTCATTGCATGAATAAACGCAGCGCAAAAAATCGTGCATTTGTATTGATCCAGTGAATTTGATCAACACGAATCCAGTCATTGATCAACTCGAATTGATCTATAACTATAACAAGACAGATTGATAATTTATTAAATTAGATTCTTCGTGTGAATGACTGCAATTTAACAGCTAATTTAGTAACATTAATTCTGACGATGATAATATTGCTTACATATTCGGCGTAGAAAAAATTCGCAAAGAAGAACAACAAACCAAGCCAGATAAAAATATATAAGTACGTTCTAATTTTCTTCAATATCGTTTAAATCTCATAGTTTAAGTAAAATAATTTCAATTAATGATTAAGAAATGAAAATTAAACAAATTAAAACTGGCAAAATCCAGGTAAAATCAAATTTCCTATAACTATTACATATTTAAATTAACATTTACATGTAGTTCTGTGCGTAGCCCAACATCAATTATAATGTTTATGCATTAGGAAATATTTCTAGAATCAGCGAACGTTAAACTATTAGAACTAAAACGCACAGAAGATAAATGTTAATTTAGATATGTAATTGTTATAGGAAATTACTTTTGCCTGAATTTCATCAGTTTTAATCGTCGGTAATCATAATTCATATATATCTAAAAACTAAACGAGCAAATTTATAGCTGACTGTAGTCGTTTTTATTTACTATTGTGATTTTGCGTAACCGTCAGCTTTATAGAATCCATCCTGCTCCTCAACTTAGGGACGCGCTAGATATTAAACTTTACATAAACGACCAGCATAAACTTTTAAAAGAGAGCACCGGATGCCAGTGATGTATAAATTAACCACGGAATATAGGTAAATGAACCTTAACTTCAGGAAATAAATTAATAACGGTGTTAGGGATTTTGTAATCCCTAACAACGGAGTAGATAAATGAACCTGAACTTAAAGGATTAAATTAACCACGAAGTAGATAAATGAATCTGGACCTAAAGGAATTACGTATATGCGCAGACGCAAAGAGCCCAGAAGGCTGCGCCCAGAGCATAGCTTCGAATCTGCTATCCTCCTAAATAAAAATTTAGGGTGGCGCCTCGATGATTATAGGTGGCGATAGTAGATAACAGGTGGCATAACGGTGAGCGGCCAGATCTGCTTTGTGTTAACAATGAACCACCAATAAATCGAGAGTGCGGCGGTAAGGGTGGGAGTCAGTGATGGATCATCGATGATTTATAGGGCCTGAATCATCGATGGCACATTGCAGAGAAATCTCTTGTAAGCCAAATCTCTTGCAGTCAAATCTCGATCTCTCGATAACCGTTTGCCCAAACTACACAGTGCACGAATGCATTTGCCACCGCAATTTATCCAACGTAGAAAGGTGTTATTGGGTTGCGGGTCATTCGAGATCAAGACGTAACTATGACTTCGTTCTGTGTGCTTGGCTTATATGATTAAGTTTTGTTTAAAAAATTTAGCAAAAATTTAGCTTGAATTTGGTAGGTGCGAGTAAAACAGACAGAAAGAAGCAGGGTCCTAACAAATTTTTTAAACCAAAGTGAAGCCACAGGGTATTTATATCAGCCTGCTCTTGATTTAAATTGTCCGAGGAACAATGGAAAATTTTGTCGCAGAAAATACAAATTCTCAAAAGATGACAGCGAACCCAATTTTTTTTACATGAGATATTGAATATATTTATTGCGAATTTTGCGCATGCGCCAACTGGCTGTGTTGGAACTATTGCGATAAATTCAGACTAATTATTGTGTCATTAGGTATAAATTTTGTGGATCGATTAAGTGTGTTATATGATATTTACAATATTTTCAAATCGCCCCATTTATCTAAACTCTAAAGCCACGTTGACGTAGTCGGCAGCGGCTAGACATCTCTCACGCGCAGCGAGTAAGTCGAGTAAGCAAACGATCACGTTCACATGAGTTGGGTTTACGCGCGTCGGCGCTGTGCTTCCTACTTATCTTCACCAAGTCCTGCTTGCAATATGTGCTCTCCAGGTAATTTACCTGTCAAAAAGTATTTTTTACGTAGAGGGATACAAATGAAAATTCGGTTTTCTATCGCTGATTTCGATAGTGAAATTTAATTATTTATGGGAAATTTGCTTAAACACTATACTGTCTGTTAATTATTCCGATTTTAAGTCTAAATTTCTGCTAGAATGGTCCTAGTATCTTTCTTACGCAAAAGATTAAAGATTAGGCTAGAGAAAAATAGTGACTCAAAGTGGTGAAAGTAGTTCACTCCTGACATTTCAAAAATCATCGAGTTATACCAATTCCTTATTTCACGCAAGAATATGCTTGGTGAAAATATTTTGAATCGAACCGCTGTTAAAATTGATGTAATGTTCACATTATGAAACGTCAATGATTTTAAGCATTTTCTCGTAGCCTTTACTCTGAGCTGAACCATGGTTCGTTATGGATAAACGAAGTGTTTTTAGTGTACTCGGATATAGCAGAATGTTCAAATAAATTTTTTAACGGAACCATCTAATCATCACGGTGGTGATGATTAATTAATTAAATAAATTAATGAAATTAATGCTACAATACTTCAGTTAAATATTTTAAAATTACTCTAGAGCCTAGTCCTCCGATGGCTCAACGGTAGACTAGATGCTTTACTTCGCGTGTGGGAGATCGGAGTTCGCATCCTGCAGGCAGGGACTTTTTCAAGTTGATTTCTCACTAGGTATGGGCATGGTAATCTGATAATTTGTTCCTGCTACATGTCTGACATTGTTACTATTACCGTCATGGTGGATTTCCATACGTAGCCCCTAGAATGGTGATTGTATGAAGCAATATCAGTAAATATGGAAGCATCGGCTTTTAAACTAAATTAAAAATTGTATCGACTTTATTTTAGAAGTGGCCATCGGTGGTTTATTGGTGCGCTACCGAGGCCAATGTGTAGCTATTGGCGGAATAAGAGCTTTGCCGGTAGCGGAGCCATAGGCAGGTTATAGGTGGGGAATAGTTGGCGCCCGCCACCCATAATTCAATGTATAGATCATAGTTGCGTCACTCTAAATTTTAAATTGGGTCAACCATATCGAAGACTGCTACATAGTCTTGACTGCTATATCTTATATACATTATTATATAAGATAATAGTGTCCAGAGGAAAGATGATGCGCACGTTTTAAAGGAGGGATATAATTTCTGTGAGCGCCACAGACCTAAAATACGTTGAAGTGCTTGATATCAACCTTCCTTTGTCAGCTGAGTGCAGATTAGAATGTTTACCCTATTTTACTCGTACAGTTGGATGTGTACTAACAGTTGGATGTGTCATGGCCGTAGTTGAAAAACAACCCTGATAACATTATACGAACTCTTTTGTGTGTACAATAATTAAGTCATTTCCTCCTTCCTCTCCATTCATTTCAAAAAGTCTCCATTTTTATTCATTCATGATTTATCGAATTTAAATGATTTAATTAGGCTTCGATAATACCAATGAATAAATTATTTCTTTGTTCAAATGTTATGCCAGCAGGAAGATTAACAACCACGTACTTGAATGCGTGGAATATTCTTCACTGCGTCCACATGAAAACTGTCTGGCCAGAGTAATAATAAATATTTCCCGTCCCAATATCTTCAGTTCATTTTATTCCCATCGCATGTCCTACAAATATTTAACAAAACACAGAGGTAGATAATACATTACCAACGAACTTTCACATACATCAGGATCTGATTACTCACACTGCCCTCGACTGCGCTGAGAAAAATCTTGACAAACATATGGACAATCTTTCAGATTCGTGTATCTTCAATATACTGATAGGCAAGATATGCAGCTTTGTATGGGTTTTAGGAAGCAAGGAACGATAAGCCATGCACAGTCGGTTGATAGTTTTGTTTTCGCTGTAGCACAACTCCTCGATTCTCTCCATGTTTTCAACTAGTTTCTATAATGGCAACTGGTGATTTACGCAAACCAAATTCAATAAGTTAGTTTGAGTTCTATTTATTTGTATGAAACATAAAAATCTCATTAAAAGCTGCAAATTTCAGATTTTCAATCAAAAACATTAGCCAAAGATGCGGTTTTGATAAATAAAATTCAAATCATGTTTGCTTCGTATCTCAAGTTTTGGTAATTTGAGTTTGCGAATTAATGGTTGAAGTTTATTTAAAGAATTCTATTCTTATATTCTATATCCACTAAGGGGTAGTTCTGATTAAGGCATAGCAGTGGGTCAACCAATGTCACGTATCGCCATATTGAGGAAAAGTTCTGTCAGTAAAAGTTCAGGAAATTGTTTTGGCTGTGCTGACCAGTTCTGCGAAAAAAATTCTGCAGTATCTTGTAGATTTGATTCATGATACAAATTAGTGAAATTAAGCCGTGGCTGATACTACTTTCAATGAACTTCAGTTTCACTTCAGAACCGAAACAGAATATCGTTCATCAGTTTAATTGATTGAAAGTGTCCACACTCAAGCCTGGATTCATGGAAGCATGGCCCATATGGACGTCGAAGCTATGCTCAACAGGCTAGGCGGCTTCGGAAGATCGCATTTGTTGATAGCAGCGCTGTGCTATCTCACCGCCTTCTTCGCCGGAATGCCCGTGGTGCAGGACTCATTTGTGAACTACACTCCTGCCCATAGGTAGTATGATTATTTCTAAACTCCTGCCCAATAGGTAGTACGTTCACTACTACACTGCGTATAGGTAGTATGATAATATGATTACTCCTACACTCCTGCCCAATAGGTAGTACGTTCACTACTACACTCCTGCGTTTAGGTAGTAAGTTTACTCCTAAACTCCTGCCAATAGGTTGTATGTTTACTCCTACACTCCTGCGCATAGGTACCCTATCGAAATTCGAAGACCTGTCAGCCGCTGGCACACGGACGCCCCAAGTTCTTATGGCAGGGTAAATTAGAAGCTCTATGTCCGCTTTAGGTTCCGGTTGCCGTAGCGAAATAAACGCCGAAATGGAATCTTGTGAAATTACTCGTTGAGCTTGGGGAGATCGTGGGGTGCGCGTATTTGGTGCCTGATACGTTCGGGACAGACACGGCCGAATATGAAAAATGCTTAAAAAATGCCCCCTCCCCCCCTTATGGGGGGAAGGGAGGGGACATTTCAATCTCTGTACGTTATATATATATGCAGTCTATATTGCACTACTCGCTCAGTTTTAAGATCAGAGCAGTCTACCAGAGGCTCAATTTCATGCAAAGACGTTTACAGCTAGTAACTATTATGACATGTCGTGGTTAGAAATGAGGGCAATAATCGCAAATAAAAAAATTCAATCAATACATCAAAAGGTATCCCTGATTCGAGGTAATGCAAGTCAAGCCAATTCCTCCTATTAAATCCATGTATCCTACTGAATGAACAACGTTGTTTTTAAAATAATCGTTGAATTATTTGCCGTTTCATTTCGTGTAACTTTCGTCACATTAAATTTCTATAGAGCAAACAATTCTGCAAGGGCCTCGAATTTCTGCGTTTATTGACGAAAGATCACACAATAGAACGGAGTAGCACATGTTAATCTTAACAAAATCTAGATGCGGCACTAACTTGATTGCAGCTTCCAGTTGTTCACAGTTCATAGCAAGTGAGGATCTTTCTGCATCTATCGTCGGCTGCTGCAATGACAGTTGGTATTGACTTTCACATGTAGTTCTTTACAAGCATCTAAGTTATCAACTGCACTCTAAATTCCTGGAGAGACAATCAAATAAATAGCGAAATAAACGATAGTTATGGAAATCCTCAAATCAAATATGTTTCTCACTGAGAGGCTCCTTGTAAAGTAAATAGTTCATAAGCTATCTTCTGCTTGAGCAATAAGCTCAAGCATGCAGACATATGCCCAAAGCTGAACAGTTCTTTGGCTGAAGAAACCATTCGTCTAGCAAAAAATTTTACCGGGGTCTGAAAATACTGCTTGCAACTGCTGAAAATGAAGAATAGAAGCATTTCTAAATTCTAACGTCTAATACCAATTCAATATTGCTCGATGGAAATTTTCTGAATCTATCTTCGTATAATTTGTAGTTCTTCAGAAATAACCAAATTCATCCTTATACTTGAATGTAACTCCATAATGAAGCCTGATTATACAACGAAATAGAGTAGATAGAACGGAAGAAAAGCAACTAACTTACTTGCGAATAATCGGTATACGCTCTGCAACCTGTACCATTGGAACATGCCCAAAGTTGAAAATTTCTACAGCAGCCAAAATCTTGAACACACAAATGCGTGGTCATGATGAATGTCGCCTGCCGACGAGAACTTGAGAAGTACCTATTGCAACGAACTGATCAAATAACAACTGATTTAGAGCATATTCCACATGAAATCTTCTCTTATTGTCGAAAAAAGAACTTGCATCGTATGATTGCTGCGTTTTGAAATAAGTGATGGTGAAAGACACACCATACAACTACATCTTATCAATAAAATACTCGTGGGAAAAACTTAACAAATTTTCCTTCATAATTTAAATTTTCCAGTCAAATACGTCATAATTTAAGGAAATTGTTTAAAGCTCTCTGAAAGCATCAAATTGTTTAAAGCTCTCTGAATAAGACAAAACTATAATAGTACCTTTTCGATAAGCATTGAGCAATGAGCACTCTTCACTGCGTACTGAACGATTGACTGTTCGATCTAAACTGGCGCCTTCCTATTGCTGCAACGGTTAATGCTCTGTCCGGATGGGGGGTGCGGGAGGTAGACCCCCATGCACATACCCGCATACCCCCGTATGGCGGGAACTTCGATTGTTCGTGCGTTTACCATTGTTCAGCCTCTGACCAGCCCCATCATGCGGTAGCGTCATCAGCGTTTGACCAGGGGCATCATGACGAAGCTTGACCAGCAGCTCTTTTTAATCATATTACGCAGATTTGGCCTACCGGGCAATTGACTTCTAAAAGAGGCTGGTAAATAGAAGCAAAACACCCTACGTGGCCGACTTGCTCCTGATTCACCCCTAAGCCGAATACAGTTCCTCTAAAACGACCTTAATCGACACGAAAATTTTGACAGGGTAGGATGTATACTCTTACACTCCTGCCCATAGGTAGTATGTATACTCTTACACTCCTGTTCATAGGTAGTATGTATACTCTTGCACTCCTGCCCATAGGTAGTATGTATACTCTTACACTCCTGCCCATAGGTAGTATGTATACTCTTACACTCCTGCCCATAGGTAGTGTGTATACTCTTACACTCCTGCCCATAGGCAGTATGTTTATTCCTGCACTCCTGGGCATAGATCGTAGGTTTACTCCTAATCTCGTGCGCATAGGTATTATGTTTACTTCTATACTCCTGCGCATAAGTAGTATGTTTACATGGGTAAACATACTACCTATGCGCAGAAGTAGTACTACGTTTATAAATCATTTCTTCAGGTTTTAATTCTAAAATAATTTTCAAAGTTTGTTATAATATATTCACTTGAGTTAAAGCTGATTCATTTCGGTGGAGAGACGATGAATATCATAGCGGATATTATCAATATCAATCTGCAGCTCATTAATAGTTCCAGAATTGAACATAACTTTCCTTGGACATCTATCCTCAAGTCTTCCATTTTCACAAGAGATTTTATAAGCTTTGTTTTTCTCACGGGCTGTCTCGAATGACAATAGCGTGCGATAGAACTATTCTCGACTAACGTTAATTTAATTCCATCATAAATCACTCTATATTCTCAAATATTTTTAATGGGCTAATAACACTTGACTAGATGGAATGTCTTTTCTAAACCAAACCGTAAATACATTTAATAAGTAGAGAGAATTGTATATCTTGTGTTTATCAAGTATTTCTTATAATAACCTTCATTTTAATTAACCAAGATTATCAATGCATTTGTTTTTTGATGAATTTATATTAGTTTAATATTTAATCTATCTCTAAAATCACAGTAGCGTTCACTAGCGAATGCTTGTTCCCATATTGATTTTTTCCTCAATTTTTGTAATTCGTTGTAGAACTCATCCTCCTTTCTCAAAAGGAATTTAAAAGCAAAGAAAACGCCAAGAAAATTCACCATATCGATATTGAAAACGTTTCGGAGTCCAGCTCCATCATCAGTTCGACTAAACTAAAAATGAATAAAATCACTTTAAAAGTCAAAATTCAAAGACAGACATAAAACCTAAACAAGACCTAACATTATATCGAAATAAACAGGACTAGTTATGAACAACAGGACTAGTTATGAAGTTGTTCATAACTAGTCCTGTTTATTTCGATATAATGTTAGGTCTTGTTTAGGTTTTATGTCTGTCTTTGAATTTTGACTTTTAAAATTCATTTTTAGTTTAGTCGAACTGATGATGGAGCTGGACTCCGAAACGTTTTCAATATCGATATGGTGAATTTTCTTGGCGTTTTCTTTGCTTTTAAATTCCTTGTGAACTTGCGATATAAGCAGACTAATGATATAAGTACTTATATACGACCTTTCTCAAAATTTCTGCTACTTCATTCGGGATAAAATCTGCCCTTGTTTCAACTCCATCAATATATGGCTTTAATTCAACCTGAATTCCCGCTAATGATGATACTTCTTCGTCGAGAGATTTCAAATTATTTTGATATTACTTCAGTCATTTCCTGAGTTACTTCTATACCAAAATTATCCAATTCTGTTTTTAATTCAATATTTTCTTGAGTTACTTTTTATCAAGATTTTCTGATTTCAGTTCCTGTGTTACTTTCCCATGAATAGTATCTACTATTGATTTTACTGCAAGCAATTCATTCTTGAGGAAGTTGATATGCATTATAACACCCTCTCTAACAACATTTATTTTTTATTGGTCATTTCTGAATCCTTTACATGAACATCTGAGACTTTTATAACTTCCTCGACAACATAACTCTTGCATGCGGCATCCTTATCCTCAATCGGACAGGGGATAATTGCAAGTCTCTTATTATTCAGATCAATTTTTTTCGGTGTCAATGTATCTAAAGCCAATACCTGGAGGGCCTCTTAGCTGCGATATGGGTTTACTAGTTATCATTTGACTGGCTCTGAATTACATTTTGCAATCAATCCTGATGGGAGACAATTGTTTGTTGGCGTCAGATGCAAAATATAATTCCATGATCATAATACGCTTCACTTGAGAGGCATTCAAGATGAGATTATAAATACTGATTAGGCTTCTATCACGATCACGAATCTCGCTCGTAACGAGATGCTGATGAGCGTTTTAATTTAACACTTTTCGTTACCTCAAACTTGCGCTTGACCTTGCAGTTGCCTTTGTGTTACACTAAAAGTTCTTTTTTGACCGAGTGAAATATTTCTATATTGTATTGATGAAGAACGCTTATATGAACTAATGTTTGTACGAACAATTTCTGCTGTTAATTATAGAGAGTATAAAACATACGAGGAATTTGAATGACACTAAACGTTACTAAAATCTCACAGTTGCTCGGAAAATCAATTTGTGAATGCGTTGTAAATAAGTGAAGTTAATAACTATGTAAAAAAAGCATAAATCAAACGAAAAAAATTAATAAATTTACGATATAGACTTATTAGTGGCACTTCAGTAATTAGGAATCGCATTGAAAACTGTTCTAACTGAAAATCTTTTTCTACAATTGTTGGGTTTTGGTGGCAAGCGATTAAATCCTACAGTAATAACAAAGAATGTTTGACTTTCGTGGCAGATGTTACGTGCCGTCATGCGACTCCTCGAACACGACTTACGAAGACGACTTCCTCAACTTCACCACTCCTTCAGAAGACAACGAGTGGGCCAAATGTGAATACCACTCACCACTCACCAACGAGACGAGTGCCTATAATGTGCGGGACTGGGGCATCCTATGGTCAATGTTGTCCGTAAAATAATTTGCGGAACATGTAATATACGATCTAAGTACAGATGTCCATGGAAACCGAAGCACTTTCCTCTATAATCAAATTTCAACTATAAAGATATGATATAGGTATACCTCTTGATTCACTCTCTTATAAGTAACCTCTGGAATACAATCATGTTCATTTCATAAAATAACTTCAAAGCAGATTAGCATTACCAAATATTTTTAAAAGAGATCTGCATAACTTTGCTCTGCTTCACTGGTTATATATCATATTCTTCTCAGTATGCATCAAGACCCATCCAAATACTGGCGTCTCTATGGCGGGACGAGGAGGACGAGGCGCGGTCTGGGGGCGCGACGTGCGAGGCCGACCACTTCGCTGTTGCTGACGTGCGAAGCTGCGACCACGGCTGGGTGTACGACCACGAGCTCTTCCAGTCCTCCACTACTATGGACGTGAGAACGACGGGACACTGGGCATGACGTGACAATGTGCGTGAGAATTTCATGACATTGGATGTGACAATGTGCCTGAGAACGACGTGACAATGGAAGTGCGAGTGACGGGCAATTGGACGTGAAATAGAATGGTGCTTGTTATGGGTTGAGCGGTTATGGGTGTCTGAATGACTTGTCAATAGGCGTGACGATAGATAAATTACACTGCATTTTTCAATAATCCTCATTGGTGTCATTACCGTTATAAGTAAAAATAACGAATGGTTCTGGTCTGTACAGTTCATATGTTCTTTCAAACAAAATTATTCATTTTTATCATAATGGTACGACATTGCGAGCGTCGTGATACGCGCGCCCGACGTGTTCAGAGCATCAGTTGATCCCTTGGATCATAGTTTACCCTCGACATTGTTAGATTATCATGAGATTATGCGAACACATGACATTATTGTGAGTTTACCACAACATTACGGCCAAGATATTGTAATTCATTCCCTAGTAACAATTTTCAAAGGGGCCCATGTTGGCCCAAAGTTGCATTACAATATTGGCCACATGTGGAAATGCCATATGGCAACCTCATGGTTTTTGTGAAAATTCTGCCCAGCTAGGCCACATAGAAATCACGTGATTTCTACATAGGGCCAATTTAGCTCATACATGGTAAAACCATGGGCCTGTCATATGACTACATGATTAGATATGTCTACATGATTAGAATTGCATTGGCCCAGCATGGTTCAATTCATGGGCAAATGAAATCAAATATTCTACAAATAATATCTATAGAGAAATCTTTTGCCTTAAAAGACTACCCAAATAATAATTGAACAATTTTTGTTGAAATGCGATTTTCCTTTACTTTTTGTAATCATTTTATGGTCAAAATTTGTTTTCAAAGAAGCAAAGGTGCTTCACTTAATTTCAATACAAAAGGCCTGATCAATTTCGAATATATTTATTTAACAATATGTTCGATATCATCCATGAAATTTCAAGAAGCCAAAGATTACAGCCACTAAATGAACTATGCCATGGTTCGCATATCATTAGTGTTTTTTCCGTAAGTTATTATGACTGTGATAGCAAATTTGACCCCAACTTAATGACTGACATTTTCGTGAGTAAAATTTAAAGCTATTTCATGATTACCATGCAGGCCTGCATTTAGTTTGGACAAAATTTGGAAGGTTTTCTGTAAAAGATGACTTGTTTCTGAAAATAGTAGCCGATATTTGAATCAACAAAAATTTCATCGAAGTCGTGCACCTTAATCAAGCGATTTAATCCCAAACTACTGACACTTCGTTCTACACTAATGGAGCTTTTGTTTACTTCGCGTTGTGGCAAAAGCAAACGGAAGCCATTCTGATCAGTGATTGCCATTGTGAACCTGTGAATGCTGTGATACAAAACATTAATGACTAATAAAATCAAAAGTACAACATTCAAACAAAACAAACTTTGAAATGCTTAACAAAAGTTATCCCAGTCCCGGTGTAGTAAAATAAGAAAAAGTGAACGTAAATCGTGAAGTTATGAACGCGTCTGAATGTGAGTTGGGCAAAAAATTGGTTTGCCACCATCTGGTCAGTCAATTAAATCATTTACATGCAATAAACTCGTAAACTTTTAAATATGAACCGAAACACTACCAGTACCAGCGTACCTCGCCGGCTCGCAACTGAACTGAAAGTGAACTGCAGTACTGACATGCATTCCTTTTCCTGAAACGGTAGAATTCATTGTCGGAATATCTTCAGAGCTCTGAAATTTTCATAGCAGGCGTGCTCTGTTTCGAATGGCAAGGCTTGCAAATTTGGCTTTACTTACTGACCGCTTCTCGAGCGCATTGTTATCACCGATCACATTGCCGCCCAAAACGTGAGCTCTACTCCAATCACTCTCCTAGAGATACAGTGCAATGAGTACATGGTAATTCAAATACACAGAAACATTGTAGGAAACAAGTATTTAGAAGGACAACCTTTCACCAGTATACTTGTAACTGCACGAGTGACAACACTACTGGAAGGCGGGAGCTAGTCGGCAGACTCGTTCGATCTTCGTTCAAACGGATGTCGTCTGCATGAGTGCCCGCGTGACGGCTGCACTTTCAAACTTTATACTGCCTTCGAAAAACGTGAGCTCTCCTCCAATCACTCTTCTAGATCACAGTACAATGAACACGTGGTAATTCAAATACACAGAAACATTATAGGAAACACAAGTATTTAGGACAGCCTTGCAGCTTGCACGAGTATACTTGTAACTGCACGAGTGACAACACTACTGGAAGGCGGAAGCTAGACAGCACACTCGTTCGATCTTCGTTCAAACGGATGTCGTCTGCATGAGTGCTCGCGCGACGGTTGCACCATCAAACTTTATATTCCTACTGCCTTGAAAAGAATTCTTTTTACTAACTCTAAAGAGCATAATAAAATTTTCAAACTCTAAATTCGAGAGCAAGTGGATTATAGAGAAGTCGCAACGTATCTCATACTTAAAATTTAAGGCAATTCAAATGGAAGATATTAAATAAATTAATATTCACGTAATTCTATTATATTATATGCAGAACATTACGCAAGTCGCAAATATTCTTATTTTTATATGAGATTATCATTAATTTTCAATCTATGATCTAAAATAAGTTATATGAACTTAGGTATTTGTTGTCGGAACGACACGTTCGTTCTTCGTTCAAACCAAAGTTGTCCGAGTGCCCGCGGAAGAGATACACATTCAAACTTTAAACTGCCTACAAAATAATTATTTTTAATCACAACTGATGTGCATTATGCAATTTCCTAACTATAAATTCGAGTGCAAGTGGACTATAGACAAGTCGCGACGTATCTCACGACTTGAAATTTCAGGTAATTCAAATTAAAAGAAATTCTCTAAATTAATATTCATGTAATTCTATTTAATTATTGGCCGATAATTAAACAAATAGTCTTATTTTACTATGAGATCATTATCAATTTTTGAGTTTTGAACTAAAATAAATTTTATGAACTAGAACATTCGTTGTCCAATAAGTTTTTGGTCTGAATTCGCTAATTGTTGTTTAATACATCAACATTAAGCCAAAAACTTGGATTATCAGTATTATCTTGGTTTGCCACATGAAAGCCATATAGGTCCAACACCACTGATTTCATTACTGGTTCTACTTTATTTGTACAATGTCGTAGCCACATAACAATGTCATGCAGCCTCAGACTAAGCCCATTGTAAAATTGTTACTAGGGTTTACGTCGACATAATAATTGCCAGTACGTGGACTTAAAAATAATTATTACGAGATCCCGCGGCAGTTTGACTTGGTGTGCGACAAGTCCTTCCTGACATCCATGACGACGTCCGCCTATAACGCCGGCCAGCTTCTTGGGGCCATCACCAGCGGCGTCATGGCGGACAGGCTCGGCAGAAGAGTGAGATCTAGCACACCCACAGGGCAATATTGTTGTTTTGAGATCTAGCAAACCCACAGAATTATTAAAATTAAATACTAGCAGGTTAATACCTATAATTCCGTAATACCGAATCCAGTAATTGATACTGATGCTGATTGTACTAATTGAAGAAAGCCGCTCCATACCGCATTTTACAATAATCATATGAACCTCCCATTTCAAATAGGAAAGAATTTACGTCTTTCCTTCTTTCAAGTTAAATTTAAAGATCCCAATTGCAAAATTAAATAGTAATTTTTGATCCAATCCTTTTCTCCCGGCACGCTAATTATCGTGGGTAGTCACCCGAGATAATGTATATAGTAACAACTAACAAATGAGTGTAATTCCTGTTATGGCTTGATTTATTGTACCATCCTTCTTATGGAATATGAATTGGTTTATGAGGCAAATAGAACGTCAGACGAAAAACTGTTAAGCGACCATCAATATTAATTTGCTATAGAAAATGGTCCTTCCTAGGAGCTACGGTTATAAGTAATATCCCGATGAAAGTGCTAACCTCGTTTCATAATGCAATATATAGGGTTATTCTAAATGATGAGCCCTATTTGTATTTAGTTAAGTATAATTTCAAAATGAAAAAATTATACACCAATAGAAAGAAAAAGATTCAATTTTTTTCCATATTAATAAATGTTCAATATTAATTGAATGTTTGCCTTGCGCTGCAAGGCAAACGTCTGAACGGAAGCAAAACTCGTCCTACATAGGAGCAAGCATATGGAAATGAAGATCTGGCTCTACAGTACTGGCCACCGAGACCTCCTGATCTCACCCCATGTGACTATTTCTTATGGGGTTACATCAAGGAAGCTGTTTACGTCCCGCCTTCGGTTCTTCAACAGCTATGGCTGATCTAAAGAACTGTACCACTGCTACGGTGCCCTCAGTAACAGAAGATATGCTTTATCGTGAGTGGGACGAGTTTGGCTACCGTTTAAGAGGAGCGTCTGGGTCCCAGGAAAACTTTTTTATTTACGGACGGATTACTTTGAAACTTCTTAAAAATATGTAAAACATAATTCTAAGACTTTTTGTTCGTGTAAATTTTTCGAAAAAATGAAAGGAAACGTGAAATATTTAGAAAACGGCCAAATAGGGGGTACAGTAGAAAACTATCTCCTCCTAGGATTTTCAAGCTACAGCATCGAGACGCATATCATTCGATGCGTAAGGGCCATATCTATCGCTCGTCAAAGCTTTTTTTGAAATTCGAATTTTCCAGGTGTGGGGGCATTTTCAAAAAATTTTCGAAGATATTCCGATTTCCCCTTTTCCCCCTCTTTTTTCGGAATATTTTCATAAATAAAACGAAATTGAAAAAAGCTACGACCAAGATCTAGATCTTTTATTTGCAAATCGAATGGTATATCTCTCATTGCTGTAGCTTCAAAACTGTAGGAGGAGGTAGTTTTCCAGTGACAATACTGTAAGTGTGATTGTTAGTAGAGCCCGACAAAGTCCCGGGCGCCTCGAAATCGGCAATCAAGGATGCAAGGTAAGACCAGACGATACTGGAATAAGACGATACAAAATAAGACCTGACTATACTGGAGCTAAATCTCTGTCAAGGATGGTGGGAACGACAGAGCGAGAACCATCCCTGATGACTGTTGAAGGTAACTGGAGCGAAGAGTGTGAAGATTAGCTATTTAAGGTGCACTGAGGCATTTAGTCCCTATGTTAAATGTTAAAGAACTCCACCAACCTCTGTCCTTTCGCGGTGTGTCGTGAACGCATAAATCAACGTACAGAGATGATTTTGGTACCGTTGCATAGGTCAGAATATGAGCTTTAAGGTGAGACCAAAACAGGAAAAACCAAAATTGACGATTTTGGACCCGGACGCTCTCCTTAAATGTTTGCCGTACAGCACATGGTGGGCATATTGCACATTTGTGAATTTCTAGAAATAAAATTTGAATATTTGTCTTTCCTTCGCTGTATAAATTATTCAGTCCTATTCATTCTTAAGTAAATTAGTTATAACATTCAAATTTAATTACAGGGTGACACAAAAAAAACAGAGCTCACTAAAAGTCTTATAACTCCTGAAATTTTATTCAGTTTGAAACAAAAATTCTATGGAATTATGTACAACCTATGTAGCCAACATCTGCAAAATCTCAATTCTATACCACAAAAACTCTTTGTTATTTGCTCTGTAGTCCAAGGCATCTCGAAGCTCACACGTGGTAGACTCTTAGATCAATCCGTCTTCTTAATGAATCTGAAACAAATAACAGGATTACTTGAGTATTGTGGAAATTATTCAACTTTTTATGAGCTCTGTTTTTTTTGTGTCACCCTGTAATTGTCTGTAACATTTAGAATGATCCTTTAATACTCAAGAATAAGCTAAAGTTGGCGTGTAGTTGTCGTACATGTTGTCGCTGGTGCTGCTGGTGACGGGGAGCTCGCTGGGGGCGGCATCCACAGGCCCCGTGATGCTCATCCTATTGAGGCTACTCGCAGGCCTCGGCGCCGTCGCCGTCTACCAAATTATATTCGTTCTTTGTGCGTATAACTTTACTTTAATTTACGTAATATACTTTTTAAAGAATGAAATTGTTAGATAGAAAAAATAGCAAATTGATATTTAAACGCGTTTGAACTTGGAAAACTGTTAATTTTATGCTCGCGAAAGATCATTATCAGGCTGACGATTTTAGGCGTATTATATGTTGTACATTAATAATGAGAATAATATTATGACTATCGGTAATAGGACGTATGACTATACTATTGATAAACAATAAGGCTTACTTGGATGCTTGACACTGGATGAAGAACATACAGTATATTGGGGCGCATGCCGGAGGCTAGCTTTGCCAAACTTCACATTTAGTTCATATTTCATTCCGTAGGTAAAAACGCTAAGTGCATAACGACCTATGAAGTCAAGTGCTCGAAGCCATAGCTCCGGATGTCCACAGCCACAAAATATATAAGCTTGCTAAAGGTAAGCAGGGTCATACTGCATCTTGCCAAACCTCTTTCGGTTTAACCTCTTCAGGACTAATCTACACAAGTTGCAAGATTTCTCCACCCAAAACGAACCTGAACGGACTTTAACTTAACCTCATTGGCTGCAGGAAGTTAGACAGGCGGTCCAAGTGTGCTCTAAGGGCCAGTCATTGGCTGCAAGAAGATTGTGAGCAGACAGTGTGAATAGGTTAGGCCTTGAGAGGTAAGGCCGTAGTAGGTACAGCCGGATGATTAACTGCCTGCTTATAAGCAAACATGCTTAAGCATTGGATGAAAAAGGCGCTATTATCTTTCGGCAGTGTGTTGCATGTCTAGAATAAGGATTTCAAGGGTGGTTTGCGGCTTCTAGCTCTGAGGCTGAGTAAAGTTAAATCATGGTGAAGCTTGGCTTTTTGAAGAGTAAAACTCCAGGGCTTTTTGAGAGTAAAACTTGTGGCCTACGGCTGCACCCCCCAAATATTGTAAGGTAGACCAACACCAACAGTTTTGGAAAAGACACGCAAAGGTCTGGTGCTGAGCAAATGCCCCAGCAGGTGCTGAATATATGCCTAAGTACCTGCAGAATATATGCCCCAGCACCTGCTGAATATATGCCCCCAGCAGGCGCTGAGTATTTGCCCCATCAGCTGCTGAATAGTGAATACGTGCTTCAGGAGCTATCGAGTACAAGCCCCAGCATGTGCGAAGTACATGCCCCAGCAGGTGCTGAGTACATGCCCCAGCATGTGACAAGTACATGCCCCAGCAGGTGCTGAATACATGCCTCAGCAGCACCGCAGTGTCGTCGGGCTGCTGATCAGCGTAAGCTTCGCTCTGGGCGAGGCGACCGTCGGCGTCTACGCCATCTTCATCCGGCGCTGGCGGATGCTGCAGCTCACCATATCTCTGCCCATGTTTGCTCTGGGCATCAGCTACTGGTGAGGCTTTGTATATATTGCTCCCGGCATGATACTTTATCCCTGCCCATGTTTGTTCTGGGCATCAGCTACTGGTGAGGTTTTGTATATATTGCTCCTGTCATGATACCATATCCCTGCCCATGTTTGTTCTGAGCATCAGCTACTGGTGAGGTTTTATATATATTGCTCCTGGCATGATACCATATCCCTGCACATGTTTGTTCTGGGCATCAGCTACTGGTGAGGTTTTGTACATATTGCTCCCGGCATGATACCATATCACTGCCTATGGTGTTCTGGCTATTATCTACTGGTAAATTTTTATATATATATATACTGCTCTTGACATGATACCATATCTCTGCTATGCTTGTTCTGGGTATCAGCAACTGGTGAGGCTTCATGTACATTATTCCTCGCATGATACCATATCCCTGCCCATTTTTGTCCTGGGTATGAATAACTGGTGAGGTTTTATTTATTTTACTCCTGGCATGATACCATATCCCTGCCCATAACTGTTCTTGGTATCAGCTACTGGCGAGGCTTTACATATATGTATATTGCTCCTGGCATGATACCATGTTCATGCCCATGTTTGTTTTGGGTATCAGCTACTGGTGAAGCTTCATGTACATTGTTCCTGGCAAAATACCATATTACTGACAATGTTTGTTCTTGGCATCAGCTACTGGCAGAGGTGGGCAGTAGCGCGCTACATGTAGCGGCCGCTACTAGCGGCCGCTACATTTTCAGTAGCGGTAGCGGTAGCGACTCTACATTTAAGGCAATGTAGCGGTAGCGGTAGCGCCCGCTACATATTTGAGTAGCGATACGAGGTTTTACCGCTACAGCGCTACCGCTACCTCTTATACACATCTACGAAA